GCAGGCTCGGGGCGCCGCGACCCCGTACCCCGCCTCGTTGTGGGCCCCGCGGGGACGGCGGCTGGCGGGCGCTCCCTGCTGCTACTGCTGCTGTTCAACAAGGAGGTGAGAGCCACTGGGTCGGGGTGATCGCGTCGGGCTCGCCATCCCCGTGGGGAGATGCACGCAGAGGGACCGCGGAGGGCGCGGGGAGCTGGGCGCCGGCGGGGAGAGCCTACACCGAGGGCGGCGCGGCCGGGGGCTTCCGCCTGCCGCCTGCGTGGGTGCCCTGGCTGCGGCCGCTCTGCGGGACCCGGGAGTGCAGCGGGGGACGCGCCTTGAAGCGCCCACCTGCCTGGGGCAGCCCTCCCCAAGAGAAACAGCAGGCCCCCAGGGCCCTTGGGGAAGAGGCTTGTGGGCTTTTTAAGGGACTGTCCAGAGGAGGCTTTGGTGGCGCGGGCTGGGGATGGCAGATGGGCGCTCGGACCGCGGAGGAGCCTGGTGGGGTCACGCTGCGGGTGTGGGCCGGGTTGGGGTCTCCGGGACCGGGGCGCGCAGGGCGGGCTCAGCCAACGGCCGGTGGGGAGGAAGAAGAAGGGAGGCTGGCCCGAGGCCCAGAAGAGGAGGGATGCGACGGACCGACGCTCGGGGCTGGGGGACCAGGGAAGCCCGGGGGAACCCCCTAATCCCTTGGGGCCGGTCGCCCGCCCGCGACCCGGTCAGGGCGCTCCGCGAGGCTGCCCGGCCGGAGAGGCTGCGGGGAGCGCAGAGCCCACACCCGCGCACACACTCCCCGAGAGCATGCTCAGTGCGGCCCTGGGAACTTCCTGCCGAGTAGCGAGCCGCCCCGGCCCCTGTGGGCCCCCCTCCGGGTCCACGGCGTGCTAAGTTGGGGGCGAGCGAGCGCGCGGGTGGGGGGGCGCGGCGCCCGCCTGTCGCCCTTTCGTGCCCCTGGCCCCTGCTTCGCTTTTGCTCAGATCCCAGCGCTGCTCGCGCCAACCGCCTCCGCGGCTGGGAACGGGGGTGTGGATGTCATCCCCCGCTCCCCGAGGCCAGGTCCGAGGCCGGGAGGCCAGAGGCCTGGCGGTGCGGCCGCTGGCCTGGTGGACTCGCTCTCTGTGCACTCGCCGAGCGCACGGACCCCGCGCCGGGAGCAGACTGGGTGGAAGGGGGTGTGTGAGCCGGGGACGTTCGCGCACACACTTGCTGTCACACACAAAGCCGTGGTTTCGTAGCTACCGCGCGGAAGAGGGAAGAGGTGGCGCTTGCATTGTCCAGCCTCGTTCGGAGCGCCAGCGGGGTGCTCAGTTCGAAGCAGGCGATGCTTACGTTTTCAGAGATGCCGGGGTCGAGGTCTAGGGCCCGGTACTCCCGACACTGATTGCCAAGCCCGGCGCGGGGCGGACACTGTTGTGAACACCCGGCTCTGGCAGGCACTTACGGAGCTGTGAAGTTGGGGAGGGGAAAGCTGAGGTGTGTATGGGGTTCGGGTGGAATGGCAACAGTGCACCTGGAAACACTCAGATTCGAGTAGTAGCGGCAGGATCTCATTGTAAAGAGAGGCAAGTGGGAAGCCGGTGTCCCCGCCTGTGTTCATTGTCAGGACCTGAGGGACTTGGTTGGATTTTAGTCCGAGAGCACCTCCCCCCACAAACCACCACCATGTTAGCAACTCTATCACCCATATCTTGAGCCTTGACGCAGGATCAGAACTGCCTTGTTTTTAATTCAAGAAATCAAAAAACAGTTTTTCCTGACAGGCAAACCCATCACAGATCTGTCTTGATAAATGATTTTCACCACCACCCCCCACTTCCTTCTTCCCTACAAATTCTTTTTATTGTTATTGTTCAAGGCTGAGATAAGCACCCTTAACTTTGGCACTTCTAGGATTAGAGCGAAGCTCTATTTTCTAGAGGCTTTTGTAGTTTTCTCCAGTTACCAGCTTGCTGTCCGGGTAGTCAGAGTGAAGTGGAGAGGTCCTGAAAAACGGAGTGATAGAGGAGGGGGAAGAAGGTGCCATTTTTGCCCCTTTTAGGAGCTGGGACAAGAGGAGAAGGGAGCTCCTCTGCCTGACACTTGACTCTGGCAGAACTGGGTGGCTGGACTTAAGGTTTAGGCTCTTCCTCTGGTCTTCACCTTTGTTCCAACTTGCCTGGGTTTGAGACACTTAGGCCTGGAGTCAGGAGGAGAAAGGAGTCTGCAGTCCTGGTTTGGAGCTTTGCGGGGTTTGCATCTACACCAGGCACCTGCTGGTTGGGTTGGTGTTTAGGCGGACGGGGAGGGCATGAGGGCTGGGGGCTCTGCCCAGATCTGCCAATGGCGTCTGTGCACCCCAGCCCCGCTGCCAAAGCAGCTCATGGGCTTTTTGATCTCAGCAGCGCACATTTCAAGTGCTTTGTGTTTGAGGTGTGAATACAGTACATATATATATTCACACATATGTATGTGTATATACGTTTTTATAAAGAAGTATGTGCATATGCAATGTTCTTCAGTAGCATCTTGGAGCTGGAAGGGACCTCAGGAGATCATAGGAATTCAAATTTTCTCCCTTCCCATTCAGTTTTCTCTGTTTAAAAATAACTAAAGCAGCCTTCTGCCCAGCTGGCCTCCAAAAGCATGGAAATGCCAGAGTCCCCTGTGATTCTAGCAGGGTGGGGGCTTTGGCTCCTCCCCCGAGAAGTGTAGCTCCTCAGGATCCCTAATAGATGTCAGTCATTTAACACCACCTTTCCAAATGCTCCCTGTGGCTTGGGATCTAAGTCACTGCAGTGTCACCCTCAGATTGATTTTGGCAGGGGACAGACAGTGTCCAGTGTGCCCGGCCGAGATGTCCAGAAAACTGCGTGGAGCAGTGATCGTGAGACTTGCGTTGGGAAGTTCATGTCCTTTCTCACTCTGTGGTCATCCAGGCAGGTGGTTGCCCTGCTCCGTCCCAAGAGATGTAAAAAGCAGTGCGGACTCATTTTATTCCCTCTTCCTTGTGTGTCTTGGCCTCCTGGCTCTAGAAAGGTGGGGTGGTGGGGGGGGTGAGGGGCTTCCTGTGTCGATATTATTATAGGAAATCCCAGGAAAGCACATACTGTCAGGAGCTTTGTCTCTGGGGGTTTGTTGTGTATGTCAAAGTTTGAGAAAGGGTCCTTGTATCAGGTGAAAACTTAACTGAGAGTTTTGGCTGACGGAAGATGTATGTGTTCCAGAATCCAGGAACAGTTGAGAGGTTTGGGTCACAAATAAATTTGACGCTTGTCAGTGCAAGTTTTACTAGTCTGCCTTTAAAGTTCCTAAGTGGCTTTGAAGTATAGAGTCACTCTTAAGAACCAGAAGACAGTTGTACTTTTTAATGTGTTGGAAATTGAGTAGTGAGCTCCCCAACCCTTCTTGAAGTTTCTAATCTAGGTCTTGTCCCTATTCTATATGGTATCTTGTTTTAACATCAAGAATCGGAGCACCATGTGACCTCTGCCTGCTGCAGGTGTGTTCATTGAGTGAGTTTGTCCTGCAGCGCCATGAGCCATGCCCTGTGCTGGGGCTGAGGATAAAGATGTCCTTCTTCAAAATTACCTTTTGAACTTTTAATTTATCTGACCTTCTCTTTCTGTGTGTTGATGCAAACTAATAGTTCTTGGAAGGTAGCCAAGGTGGGTCCCAGGAGCCTTAGTACTTTAACTATGTTCTCTCAGCTGGAAGCGTGGGGACTTGAGCTCCACTTGAGCTTCTGTGGGCCGTTTTATTTATTTGTTTGCTTTTTCACTGCTACAATTAAATTCATGTTTTCCTGACTTTATCACATCTGGAAAGCTGTATGTGTGCATGAGAGGGGTTGGAAGGATCGCTTTAGTTCTTCAAACTCCCAGAGCTCTCTTATCTGAACACATGACCTTCTGGAAAGGGAACAGGAGCCTTCCTTTCAAGGCCGTTTGTCCAGCCTGAAAAATCAGCACAGGCAAGGGGGATAAGCTGCTATGGCCGGGTTTGGTGGAGTTCTCCCTGTAAACTGCCCCCCCTTCCCCCCTCCCCTGCCATGCTTGTGTTGAGGCCTGCCGGACCTTGGCCCCAGCTGGGGTGGTTCTCAAGGATGGCTAAGGAGTGTTTCTCCATCCTGTTGCCCATGCACTTAGGAGTGAGGTGTATTCAAGTACTTTATTACTTGTAAGAGTTAAATACTGGTGTTTGCATTTGATTTACTAAAAAAAGAAAAAGTCCGCCCTTTAAGGTTACCCCTAGAATAGATTAACAGCCTCACTTTTGCATCCCTCTGTGATTTTTTGTGGCTGGCCCTGGAGGGAATGTGTGCCGCCCACCCACTCCTGTCTCAGCTGCACTCCTTAGTGGTGTCGTTCTGAGCACAGACGGCTTATAAGTCCTGTCACGCCGGTAAGATGCTTTTCCTAAGTATCCTACACAGAACAGTCTTCCACGGTAATAGTGTTGGATCTCTTTCGTGTCTCAGTCCACTCATGGGTGTGTGTTGTGTTGGTGATCGTCACAGATATTACGTGTCCTTGTGGAGAAATGTCAAGAGGTGGGCAGGACCATAGAGATGGGATGAAAAAATTTACCTTCTGTAATTGACCTGATTGCATATGTTTCTTTCCTCTTTCCTTTACTACTCCCTACAATGGTAAGGTGGGCACTGTTGTCATTCCCAGTTTATATATTGGGACATGAGACGTTTGTGAGGTTGTGAAACCTGGCTGTGGTCACACACAGCTAGCAAGTGACAGGGCGAGGATTTGAACGCGGGTGGGCTAGGTCCAGAGTCCATATTAGCTGGACTATGCTTAGTTAAGGCTAGCAACCTCATCCTGAGCTGTCAGCACTTTCTTTCCAACCAAAGCCAAGAGGAGCCTTAGACATTCAGGAGTTGGAAAGCAGCTCGGGGAGATCCTTCTGGATTTCTTCTCTTTCTAGCCAAGGGCATGGCGGTGTAGAGAGCGAGAAGGGCTTACTTGAAGTCTCATCAGCCAGTGGGCAGCAGTGACAAAGCTGGGTTTCAGTTCTGACCCTTGGTCCCACAGGAACAATTGATAACAACTGATAACAGTTGTGTGCCTCCTTTGTTTGTAGAAATGATTCAGGAAGCAAATGCGCTGGTCATTTGGCATCTGCCCCTCCCCCTC